CATGGTGTCACATCAGCTGACACTCACTTCAGAACTATGAAGTTCCAGTTTGAGCTTCTCAACGGCTTAAGCACAAACCAAGGTTCATAGGTCATTTGACTAAAAGCAAAATACTGAGGCTGCTGGAATTCTGAAACAACAGAATGAATGCTAGAGAAACTCAGCAGGTCTGTGAAGAGGGAAACAGAGCCCAGTGTGACTTCTCCTCTTCAGAATGTAACTTTTGATTTTCTGAACTCCCTGAGGATTAATGAAACCACCAAGTAACCCCTGAATGCTCTTCGCTGAAATAACTTTTGCTCATATATGAGTGCTTGCATTAATAGTGGGCATTGTGGGTGTTGGCAGGTTCCATGTGCAAAGTGAAAATTTTATGTTGGAGCTACATGCTGTTGTTTTCTCAATTATAGCGATTGAGGAAGTGCGGTAGGGAATAAAGTTGCTCAGCTTTTAAGAGGGCATTCTCTTGAAGTAGTGTTTGACAAACATTTTCTGTTGAGAGCTCTTATCATGTTGATCAGATTGAATCCATGCCCATCTGTTAATCCAACATATGGTAAAACAATTCACTATGAACTGTTATAAAAATGGAATATTGTGTATGCTGGAAATCTGGGATGGAAAATAAAGTTCTGATGAAAGGTCACCAAGCTGAACTGTTAACTGTTTCTCTGTCCACAGATACTGCCTGGCATACTGAGTATTTCCAGCATTTTCTGTTTTTATTTCATCATGAGCTATAGTCAGTCATTTTAAAATGGGGAGGTGAAGAGGCAGTGGGTAAAGAATGTGTTCGGAAATGTTTTGTTTTAACATCTTCATCTAGAATCATAGAATCCCTACAGTGTTGTAACAGGCCCTTCGGCCCAACAAGTCCACACCGACCCTCGGAGCATCCCACCCACACCCCTCCCCCTGTAACCCACCTAATCTACACATCCTGAACACTGTGGGCAATTTAGCATGGCCAGTCCACCTAACCTGCACATCTTTGGACTGTAGGACGAAACCAGAGTACCCGGAGAAAATCTATGCAGACACAGGGAGAATGTGCAAACTCTACACAGTCGCCGAGGGTGGAATCGAACCTGGGCCCCTGGTGCTGTGAGGCAGCAGTGCTAGCCCATGAGCCACCGTGCTGCCCCTAAAAAGTGAGGGAGCTCATTGTCTCTGGGTAGTTTCGAACCACCAACCTTCCGGTTAACAGCTGACCAATTCCGCCATAGAATCTAAGTTCAGATTTTGCATTTGATTGAGTCTGTAGTGTGTGCAATTTCCTGATTGGACCATTGGTGAAATAAGGCAAACCAGAATTAGGGGAGGTGACAGACTGTTAACCTGGAGACCCACATAATTTCTAGGGACCCAGGTTTGCATCCTGCCATGAATTCTGAATTTAAAAAAAATCTGGGATTAAAAATCTAGTGACGAACATGAACCCACTGTCGATTGTCTTAAAAACTCATCTGGTTCACTAATGTCCTGTTGGGGAAGGAAACCACCATCTTTACCTGGTCTGGCCTACATGTGACTTCAGACCCACAGCAATGTATTTGACTCTTAACTGCCCTCTGGGTAATTAGGGATGGAAAATTAATGCTGCCAAGCTACCCTTATCCCATGGATGAAGAAAAATGGTATGGAATTCTCAACAGATTAAAGATTAACTCAAGGCCATGCATTTGAAGAAGTTGGCAAAAAATTGAAAGGAGAGATGAGAAATGTTTTCACTGGGAGTTGATGGGATCTGGAATGCTCTACGTGAGAAGGTGACGGAAGTTGATTCCATGAAAATTTGTGAAAGGGAGTTGGACAAATCCTTGAGGATGAGGGACCTGCAGGATTACAAACAAAACACAGTCATGAGAAATTGAGCATGAATGGTCTGCCACAAAACCCAAACAGGCATGGTGGGCCAAATGGCCTCCTGTTGCTCTCTAAGCTTCAGTAAACCTGAGCTTGCTATCGAATAAAATCTTAATTGGAAAGAGATGTTTTCCTTATTCCTTATGTTGCATGGATCTTGGGGATCTCAGTCAACACTGGCAACACTGGCATGAATCATATTCTATTCCTAGCCATCTGCTGACATGGCTGTCCCACCACTCTAAAGGTAAGCAAATCTTCCTGCATTCAGTCCACAGAATAAACTCTGGCTTTATTCTTCAACATTAGGACAATTGCGTCTTACCAGTTCTGTATTTATTCTGGAAACTGTTAAATTTGAAACCTGATATTCACTTGAGCTTTATGTTAAGTATTTAACCATTTTAACTTTACCTCAAAACATGAAGATTTATATTCTGATTAAACTTTTAAATTTGTTGTCACAATATTTTTGGAAAGATTGAAATTTTGGACTTTAAAGAATCCTGGATATCATTTACCATTTTCACTTTCTTAAATTTGATAAGTTTTGATTTGAGTGAAGAACACTTTAAATTCTGATCTTCATGTACTTTGAAATCCCATCAGTACAGAGGCTTTGGAGGTTTTCTGAGAGCTACATGCATCAGATTTTGTCTGTGTAGGTCCCTGGGTCATGTCTATCTCATTAACTCTGCTCAGTATGATACTGAGTTCAATACAACGTGGATCAAAATTGCCTGATACGCTAATGCATTGCACCTGGAACCCCTCTCTCTGTATCACTGCTGGTGGGATATAGGTCTTAGCCATTTGATTTGCAAAATTTTTGTTGCCGTTGTGATACTGAATCTCTGTTCCTTCAAGGACCTGTGTACAGATTGTATGACCACACTATTTCAGTCCAGAGGTCAGTTAACCGTTTCAGCCAGCTCTTCTTGTATCAGTATTATGGGCTGACTCTGCAGGCCCAAACAGACAGCACAGGAAATGGCACTTCAGATAAAGATTCAGCTCAAATTGCCGGCACACAGCAGAGTGCTGGGACACGTTAGTATGTATTTTCCTGTTATAATGTTCATCAGATATTGCAAAGCCACTATAGTGACATGAAGGACCATTGTTTCAAACAAAATCAACATCCATTGGCACACTGCATCAGAAGTTAATGATGTACATTCTGTAAAAAAAAAAACCTGACTATGCAAGAATCACCTAAAATTGTACAACATTATTTGGATTGGAGCTGCGTGGGGCTTACAATTGTTTTCCATGGATTCAGTTAATAATGTCTTAATATAGAGTGATTTCAATTACAGCTATCTTACCGTGGTCCAGTGCTATAAACATAAACACGTGGTGATTACTGCTAGATTGACGAAGCCATGAGCACACAGCCAATGTCTAAGCTATAGAGAACCAGGAAATGTTGTAAAAGTGTAACCCAGAATGGGGTATTGCAAAAGAAAGAACTTCCGTTTATAGATCACTTTTCACGACCGAAGGATTTCTCATCGTGCTTCACAGCCAATGAAGCACTAAAGGAAAGGTAGTCACTGCTATAATGTAGGGCAGTTGATGAGTCCAATCACATTTTTTGAACTTTTTAATATATGTTTCTATAATTGTTACTTCTTTTGGGTTGTAAAACACCTTGGGACGTCCTGAGATTATGAATGCAAGTCTTTCTTTTCTTTCTGAAATGTTGAATTACTAAGGTGTATGATGAAGTCAGAGGTGAATAATGAGCCCATTTATTTACACTATTGGTATATATTACACATTATTTCAATTCGACAGTTGATATGTGACAAGCTAATTGTGTTTAGGTAGGACATGTTTCACCCTAACCATCAGTATGTTGGGACTACGGGGAATAATGATAATGGCTTTTTATGATGGTGTTATCATGTTATTTACTACAAGGAACCTAAGCTGCTTAAGTGTTGTCAAAAGCTGAACTACAAGCAGATCAGTGAAGGTTTTGGGTCACTTCTGAGAAGGCCGACAAAACTATATTCTTGATTGCTGCCAAACTGGTTGAGTTCGTATTTCCAGAAGTAATACTGAGACTGCATAGTACTCTAGATGGACTCCTTTGCACAAAGTATGGAGAAGGGAGTATCCTAGACACTAAAGCTGGAGTCAATCAGAACATTAGGACTGACTCCCATTGTTAGTCTCTAACTGGGACTCCTGACCCTATAAAGAGGTACCTTAGGTGGGACTTTAGAATTACAAGGAGTTAAAGCAAAATTCTGTAGGATGCTGAAATCTACAAGAAGTTGAAAAATTCAGCAGATCAGACAGTGTCCTGAATGGAGAGTCAGGAGAGAAATGACATTGTTTCAGGTCGTTGATCCTTTCAACAGAGCTCGAGGCATATTGAAACAGTTGAGTGGAGACTTGATGCCAGAAAGGCAATCCTTCCTGATAATCAGCAGCAGAGATTCTAAGAATAACTCACATGGCTGTTTGTGCTGGCGAGGGTAACAATGATTGGTTAAAAATTGAAAGAGGTCTTTTTAGTGGCTATAGAATCTTACATTGTGTCACTTTGTTTGTCAGTTAAACCAATGGTTTGAGCAGTGGTATGAGTGGTATGACAGAATGAGCCTGCCCCACACTATCATGTCTGTATCATGGCACAGCCATTTCAGTTTCAGGCAGAGGCAGAAGCCAGAGGAAACAACCCCAGGCTGCTTAGGGAAATTGACATAGAATCTAATTCTCTTTGACCCCCTCAGGTAATGGAAAGCAGTCCAGGAGATCCCATGGACCAAGTGACATGTACAAAGATGCGTGTAAGAGGGATTTGCCCTGATTCCAGGTCCATGGTGATCATAAGTAGAGTGGTGATAGGGGTGTAAAGTGGTAAGAATTTTAAAAATGGGAAGATTGGACAGCACTGCTTTTCTGCCACTCATTATATGAAAGTGGCAATAGTTCTCACCTACACACATGCACACCAACCCACACACCCCCCACACGCACACGATCCCCAGTCACAGGAAACAAATGGCTTGGGAATGCTCACTGATGAGGGAGGCTATAAGGTTGAAGCAAAAACTACTGTTTCACTTCGAGGTGACTTCACTCTGTAACTGACCATCCTTCTTGTTCCTCCTCACCAGTTTGAACAAGCAGCAGATGCAGAGATTGCCTGGATAACAGAAACAGAGAAGAAGCTCAGATCACTTGGTGACATTAGACTTGAACAAGACCAGACCTCTGCTGAGTTACAAGTTCAAAAGGTAATGTGACGTACTGAAAAGCTTTATATCCCCTTGCACAGATGTCTATGTATTCAGTTTAACTGCAGGTCTATTATCAACTTTTGTGGAAGGAAACATTGCACTGTCTGCACAGTATCTTGTTTTTATTTTGAATGAGCACAGGTCAGTCTTTTGTTTTTGATATTTGATAGTTCCAGGTTGTCTTGTTGTTTTAAACAAGTAGTGTGAGAGTTTGAGTCTCAGTATATTTTGCCCTGTGTATTGGTGCTGCAGAACTCAATGCCCAGTGTCCTGTGTCAGCAGAGTGCAGATCTCTAGCTATTGCCCAGTGCCACAGAGCAAGGCGGAGGTATGCACTCATCTCAGTGCCCTTTTTTTTATTGTTTTATCTATTGGAGTTCTAAACCATCTACTCCACAATGGATCTGTGCTCTGTAGTTCTCAACTTTACGCAGGCAAATCTCATGGAACAACCCATCAAAATGTTTGTTTGAGGAAAACGCAACACCATGGAAAGGTATGTTTCACTTGCTCAGTATCTGTCCACTGCAGACAGCCCATGATTGATGGAATCTGATTCGGATAAAATTTTATACATTAACTTTAGACATTTGCCAAAGGTTCAGACAATATGAAGGAAATAAATTGAGAAACTAACCTGGAAAATAATATTTAATTGAGTCATTTGTCAATCAGTGAAACAGGAAGACTATGGAAGCAGTTAGTTGCGATCATTTGAAATACTACAGAGTCCCTACAGTGCAGATAAAGGCCATTCAACCCAGCGAGTTTGCTCTGACCTTCTGAAGAGCATCCACCATATCCCCATAACCACACATTTAACCCACCTACCCTGCAAACTACAGGGCAATTAAGCATAGCCAGTCATCCTAACCTGGACATCTTTGGACTGTGGGAGGAAACAGGAGAAACCAGAGGAAACCCATACAGGCACAGGGAGAATGTGCAAACTCCAGACAGACAGTTACCCAAGGCTGGAATCGAACCCAGGTCCTGGCACTGTGAGGCAGCAGTGCTAATGACTGAGCCACCATACCAACCCAGTTTGGTAGATTTCATTTGGAAAGGAGCAGTTTTATGATATTAGAGATATGGTAATTGTAACAAGCTTGGGAGGAGCAAGTAACTTTGGGCCGATGGTTTCCAAATCTCGCAATTGTTGGTGACTCCCTCACCTTGGGGAAGATTTTCACCACAAGATCAGGAACCCTGATGCCACCCTGATGAATTCTGGCCCCGACACCATGTCTGAACTGCAGCATTCCTGCGTAGCTTAACACTTGCCCAAATGATCAAAAATAGTTAAGTGCCCAAATAGAGATATCACATGCCTCTAAGAAGTAGGACTCTTGCTGAGGACAGTAGGCAGGTTGTGAAAGAAAGAGCAGGGATAAACATGGCATATAGTTGCCATGATTGCTAAGTGGAGGGACAGTACATAGGAACCCTAAAATTTCAGAAAACAAAAAACACAAATAGAAGTGAACTTCTGTTTGTCCCATGGTGATCCAACCAGCTGTGCTCTAGCATTCACGACATAGTTCAACTCCATTCAAAAGAAATATTGAAAATCACATTCTGTTCTAGCTAGTCCACTTGGCTAACTCATTAAGGAGTTTAAAGGGCTGTAAATTGGTGGTGAGCAACTTTCCCATTTCCTCTTACTCACAAGGCCCATTTGAAAATTGCAAACTGTCCCAAAAGTGGCCGTATCCAGTGTCACCATAGCGAATGTAATTCTCAAATTGTGCCACACCCATTCCTGCTCCCACGGGCAAAGGAAAACCTAGCCTTCTTGTCTGGGTTTGTTGTAAACACTGTGATCAATCAAAAACTCCATGAATGTTGTCTCATGTGACTAGGATGATGAATGGTGAGCAAGAGGGTCTTTTCTCAAGATGCCACGCTCTTAACTTATTTCAAGTTGAATCTTTCAATTAAAACCCAAAGGAGGTTGAACTTTACATTGACCAGGACTCCAGATATCCCAAGGTGACTGCTCCAGTACTTTGTACTACTTTCTCACACTCGTTTAATTCATGTGCAGATACGTTAAAATACTTCTCCTTAGCATCGTACTGTGTATGTAACAAAAAAAATCAATTTGTGATAAATGCTGATGTTATTCCCTGTGTTTTAAGGCATTTTCAATGGATATTTTGCGACACAAAGATACAATCGATGAACTCGTTGCAAATGGAGATCAAATTATGAGTTCCTGCACTGAAGAGGAGAAAGCATCCTTGAAGGTATGTGAATGAACAAAGGAATTAAGTATTAATTACTTTTTGTTTGAACTTTTGTAAGTTCCATCAGTACAAGAGTAAATGTTTTGATTTGAGCAGCGAAATGAGAAAGTGAAGTAGTTGCTATACCAACTTTATCCCACTACAAGATGTAGATGTCTGATTACAACTCCTGACCACCACCTGTTGACTTCTGTCTCTAGTACCTATTTGCTGTCAGGAAGTATGTACTCCTTATATTAATACCTAAACAGATCTATATATAACTTGAGTTTTCCAGTCCATTTGCCTGCACACTTTGGCTGCTGCTTTGAATTTGAGCCCATCACTTCCTTTTCTTTTTTTTTCCCCATTTACCTCTTTTCTTTATCCATCCTGCACCCCTCCTATCAATTCTTGTCTTTCATGTAGCCTTTCATGCTAAATCCTTATCCCAATCACTCAGTATTTGTTGACATTCCTGCTCTCATGTCACTATCCCAGCGTTGATTCCCAATAAGATAAAGCAACAGCATCCTTCTCCCTCTGTGTCACTCTCGGCAACCCACCAAATGACATGGTGTTGGCTCAGTATGAACACCGCCACAAACTGTCTAATCCTGCTCTCTTGTTGAGCTGCCCATTAGGCCTAAGTCTGACAGTATTTCCCCTCTTGCTGCTGATCTTGTGGACACTTGCCAGTGAATCATCTGGCACCCACCTATCTCTATCTCTCTGCAGTGTTTGTTCATATCTGAATGTGACCCTTTCAGTTTATTGTCTACAATTGCATCAACATTATGGCGTTAATGGAAAACTGGCCAAGGGTCAATGGCAACATTTCTGCTAAATGAAAATCTGTCCTGTGACTACCTTTTTCAGTACTAACCCTGCCGGCAATCAGAATTGTGGTGTAACTCTAATCATTAAACCACACCTTAGCCTCACCACCTACTCCTCTAACTCCTTTGGACACTTCACCTTCTACTGCCCCATTAGCTTTTGGAATTTTTGTTCTCTACTCCCCCATCCAAGAGTGATAAAAAATTTCCTCGCTGAGATAGTTTCACTGAGCTTCAAAAAGAATTATCATCCTTGATTCCATGTTTTGGAATTCCCTCCCAAAACAACTCCATTTCTGTTATCTTGGATGCTCCTTAAAACTTATTCCTTTGGCCAAATGTTTGGCCACCTATCAGAGTATTGTCCTGATGTAGCTCAATGTCAAATTGTGTTTCTTATTGCCCATGTTAAACACCTTGAAATGTTGTACTCTGTCAAAGACACCAGGTAAATGCAAGCTTTTCTTGTGGATACACTGTTTTGTTATGGTGGGTTCAGTTAACTAAAATGCTTTGTTTGTAATGTAGAACAAACTGGACATGCTTCAAAAACAATACGAGGTGATCAGCCAGATGAATGCAGAAAGATACTTGCAGCTGGAACGGGCTCAGTCTTTGGTCAGCCAGTTTTGTGAGACCTACGAAGAGCTCTGGCCATGGCTTGAAGAGACCCAAGTGTTAATTACGCAGTTACCCACACCAGCCATTGAATTCGAGATGTTAAAGCAACAGCAGGAAGAGCTTCGGGTAAGGGAATAGCTGCATTATGTACACTCTCTGCATGCTACTGTCCTTGGCTGAACTTTCTTTAGGTTGTGCTGACTCCTTTGCCATTTTCAGTGACACAAAACAACATACAAGTTGGAAACTACTTTGACCTAGAAGTTTTATTGTTTTGGAGCTTCATTTCTAAACATCTCCACCCTGTCAGTCATGCGCTGTGTTTGTTTGACTGTGTATGTCTCTCTCTCTCTCTCTCTCTCTTTCTCTCTCTCTCTCTTGCTTTCTCTGTTAAGATAACATCTTTCACTGTCTTAATGTGGTTCCTTGATAGTTTCTTGGGAAGTACCTTGTGATACTTTGGTACTTTACAATTGTGAAGGGCACGATATAGGTGCACATTGCTGTGAATGAGAAAAATGCACATATATTGATAAGTGAGTTCTGATAGGTATATGAGCAATACCACTGGTAATATACAGAGAAAATAAAGCTGTTATCCATAAATTTGGGAAAGAAAATGTTCACTTGCTTTAGGGCTAATTTTGTCATTATTGTCTGCTAGTAAGGGCACCAAATGATAGGGTGTGTTTTAAATGTTAACATTTAATTAACTTTCCTATGATAAAGTTCAGTAGCTATCCTTGATATTACATAATCAGGCAAATTGTTTCAGTTAAAGTGAAGAGATTGGGAGAGACTGGGATTTTTTTCTCCCCTCAGACCATCGAAGATCAAGAGGAGATTTAATTAGAGTCATAGATATGTACAGCATGGAAATAGACCCTTCAGTCAAACTTGTCCATGCTGACCAAATATTCTAAATTAACCTAGTCCCATTTACCAACATTTGGCCCATATCCCACTAAATCCTTCCTATTCATTTGGCCATCCAGATGAGTACAATTGCAAAAGGCTGTTGCCAAAGTAAATTGGAAGAACCTGTTTATGTTGTCAGACAACACAGAATTACAATAATTGGTCAAACAATTGGACAAGGTTTATTGAATTTTTTACACACTGAGTTATGATCTGGATTGTATTTGCAAATGTTTGTGGAAACAGGTGCAGTAAAAGTTTTAAAGTTAATGAAATGTAAACTTGAAGGTGAAAGATTTACAGGGCCATGGGCAAGTGGGACTATGGCATAGCTCTTTCAAAGAGCACCGTGGACCCAATAGGCTATAACTATGCTGTATAATTTTTTTTATTGCATGAAGAGCTTTGCTGTACAGACCACGGTAGCCTCAAGTCCTGTTCCTGATTTGCTGTTTGCTAATCTCAACTTGAATAGTCTTCTGATGCTGCTTTTGGACAAAGCAGAGGAGATATTGACCAAGGTTGTTATTCTCAATTGCATCTAGTGATTTTAACTGGCTGTATGGGTGTCATTGCACTTCAAACCCCTAATCAGAGTTATGTGCATTATCACAACCCTCATGGGGATACTGAACTTGAAATCAAGCCCCACTATTCCATTAGCCATCATAAATGTGAATGCATTCAATTTAGTCTCTAAGCCAGTTAATGCCTGATCATGATCTCTATGTGAAATGAAAGAAACTCAACCAGGTTTCATCAGTCAACAAAAAAACCCACAAACTTATCATGATAAATTTATCCTTTAATATGTGGAAAAAACAATTTAAGCTATTATCCTTTAAATCCAAACACACACACACCTTCATTCACATGTAGGATGTACAGACAGATGATGCAGCTTTTTTAGGAATATTGTTGGTAGAAAAAATATTCAAAGGTACGAATGTGTGGGTCCAAATTCAAGCAAAATGTGGAAATAGATGACTTTCTTACAATTTGCTTTTTGGCTTTTGCAATTCCATTATTAAATGTTGTTGACCACAATAACCTCGAGTTCAGTAGCCAGTCTGTTGAACCTAGATCTTGACTTGATTCAGAAAATGTCCTTTGCAAAGTTGTTGTGTTTTTTTGTTTCCAGTTAAAAAGAGTGGTCAGTTTGCTGTCAAGCTTTTTGGAGGTTTGTGCCCCAACTGAACTCAATGACTCAGTGCAGTGGCAAAGCGTCACTTACAATCAATTGAAACCCTATTGCTGGGCAGTTACTTTGTTTTCCCCCAACCACACCGAGTGCCAGTGTCTCTCATAAAGGTATCAAGTTTCAGCTTTCAGAAAAGTTATATTCTTCCCAGTAACATTGAAGTGACCCCACAGTTCTATTTTCCCTTTGAATTAGATATACATATATCTATAAAAACTGGCTCATTCTCTGCAATAGAGCAGTCCAAACTTTTATTCTTTTCCTGTTTATGGTTCCAAATAAAATATGTCTAGTTCTTACAACATGAAATAGCCCTTGAACACCTACTTTCATAACTCATGTGAAGACTGGTCATTAAGTTGAGTTATGAAAAGGTTGCAGTCTTGATTGGAAGGATAAATTCAGCCAACTCCCAAATCCTTGTTCGAGAGGCTTGGTGCCAGGGCTCCATTACTACAGTGGTGATTCTGAGTGGGAGAGACTGGGCCGTGAACTGGCTCCCCCTTCTATCCTCACTATGAAGTTGTACATTCAACTGAGGAAGAAACCAAGTTAGGGAAATCAGTAATAGAATTTAAGGAAGTGAGATCAAGATGAATGATTGATATTCTTGGAACCCAGTTGAACTATTTGGCCACTCACCAAATGTCTGAATTATCGCAAGTTGTGCAGGATGACAAATTATCTGCAATTATCATTTGTATTAGCAGCATGAAGGATTTTCTCTTTTTTTTGAAATGCTGACTGTTTAATGACAATAAGTACTGATGTTTCAACACCCTTAAAAGGAAATATTTTACCCCGCAGATGTTTAATTGTTCTTGTTCTACAACACTACTTGTCAATGTCACAAAATTTCCAGGAGCTTTTCAGTGTTTTGATCGTGGTTAATTTATGATATGTTTAAAACAATTCTTAAACGTTGAGTTGGTTGCAAAACAAATAAAGTATGACTTCAGCAAATGTGCTAAACTAGCTGTAATAGAAGCCTAAATCTATTCACACTATCACAGTTCAGCATGTCTCAGTCTCATTAAACTTGGCACTGATTCGTGAAATCCCTCAGAATGAATACCATCGCTCAGATTGAGTGTTCTAAGCATTAAGTATAGGGGCAACCATTGATTAGGCTTGACAGTGGATGCTGAAAGGATATTTACTGTCATAGAGGAAGCTAGAACCAGAAGTCAAAGTTTGAAAAATATGAGTCTTCTATTAAGATAGAAATTAGAGGAAATTGCAGGGCCACTGATCTTTGGAATTCTCATTCCCAGAAAGCAAAAGCTGGATCATTGAGTCAGACTGATTTTTGATTAAAAAGGGAGTTGAGACTTAGGATTGGGGACAGTGGGATAAGCAGGGGCAGGAAAGTGGAATTAAGGTCACAGTTACACTACACATGACTTTGTTGAAGAGCAAAGCAGGTTTGACAGGCCAAACATCCTACTCCTGCTTCTATTTCTCATGACCTTATGGGGCAGTGGTACGACTCCTCCAGGCTCACCCGATTGAGCTCCAAACAGTTGGCTAAGAGCTGATAGTGAGCTTCTTGATGGATTACTGAAGCCTTGCCTCACCAGAAGCAGCCAACCAATAGAGACCTGCAGCTTTTGGATCCTGGTGATCATCACTGGAGGCCTGGTCTTCAGGGACCTAGCTGCAAGATGGTAGGCCCTATGAGAATGTGAGGTTGTTGTGGGAAGACTTAGCTCAGTGGCAAGGTCAAGGCATAGATTTCAGTAACCAACCCTTTGCCATAACCCCATCCCCAATTTGTACGAATAGAGGTCACCACACAGTGGCAAATAGAGGCTTTGTAGACATTTTCTAATCAGTCTATTCAGGGATGTCATGACCCACCTCTGGAGCAGGTGTTATTTGAACACCAGTCTCCTGGCTCAGAGATAGAGACACTACCACTGCACTATAAAGTTACGGAAAATAGAAGCAGGAGTAAGCTGTTTAGCCTGTCAAACCTGCTTTGAGATTCAATAAAATCATGTTTAATGTAATTGTGACCTCAGTTCCTGTCCCTGCGCACCTCACCACTCCTGGCCCTAACTTTCAGCTTCCTTTTTAATCAAAAGTCAGTCTGACTGAATGATCCAGACATTGCTTTCTGGGGAAGAGAATTCCAAAGGTCTGTGACCCTGATTTTTTTCTAATCTGTATCTTAATAGGAGATTCTTATTTTTTTAAACTTTGACTTCTGGTTTTTGATTTCTCCATGATAGGAAATATCCTTTCAGCATCCATTGTGTCAAGTTCCTTAAAATGTTATATTTTTCAATAAAAAAACCTCTTATGGCTTTCAGCTCCAAGGAGTATAGAATCCCTGCAGTGCAGAATGAGGCCATTCTACCCCTTTTGTCTACACTGACCTTTTGAAGAGCATCCCACCCGACCCACATTTACCATGGCTAATCCTGCACACTACAGAGCAATTTGGATGGCTAATCCACCAAATCTTTACATCTTTGGACTGTGAGAGGAAACCAGAGCACCTGGTAGAAACCCAGATAAACATGGGAGAACGTGTAAACTCTATACAGACAGTCACCCAAGGCTGGAATCGAACCTGGGTCCCTGGTGCTGTGAGGAAGCAGTGCCAACCACTGTGCCACTGAGTACTGGTACCTACTCAGCCTTCCTCAAGAGATAACCCCTTCATCTCAAGAATCATCTTAGTGAATCTTCTGCTTCCAATGCAAGTATATTCTTCATTAAATAAAGAGACAAAACCTGTACTGAATACTCTCGGCATAATCTCACCAGTGCCCTGTACAGTTGTATCAAGACATCCTGACTTTTAAACTCCATCCCTCGCAATAAAGGCCAGAATTGCATTTGATTTCCTAATTATTTGCAGTATCTGTGCTTGAAACTTTGTAATGGCACATTCTGCAGTCTGTCTTTACATAATATTCAGCTTTTCTATTCTTCCTACTAAAGGGGAAGATCTCATGTTTTCCCACATCACGCTCCAGCTGCCTTTTTTTTTATCCAT